CCTATATTGCGGTGAGACCTCAGGCCAGATTAGAAATCTCGCTTCGCTCGAATAATCCTTCTGAACACCTAACAGGTACTGGTGTCGAGTCTACATACACGCGACGATCGCCGTTCCACGAATGCATTACCCAAAAATCTAGTCCGCAAAACAAAACAACACACAGCAATGCGCCAAACGAGCATGCACCTGTTTAGGACGAATACCGTAAATTCTTCTACAGGAAGGCGTACGTGCCGTTTCCCAGTAGGCCTGTCCTCCATCGGCCGTTTTATTTTCGATTTAGATACACAAACTTTATTTCTATACTAATTTCAAGTAATTCCACCTTCTTATTCTCCGTCATACAAGCACAACGGCCGATGGAGGACAGGCCTATTTCCCAGACTGAGACGATGCGCCAGCCAATTCACCTCGTGACAGCGTGATGACAACGACGACGGTTGAGGGAAGCACCACCCCCAACCAACCTCCTCAAGGCTCCTCCTCCGGGCAAATAACTCCCACGAAAGCGCGGTCGAAGTTGGGGCTGTCCTTAGAGCACTGCCTGATGGCCTCTCCGAAGGTGAGGTGGAAGTCTGTGGTGAAGTGGATGCCGTCGTAGAAGATCTTGGTCGAAGGTTCTTTGCACTTGGTGATGGCCGGCTGGTCCACCAAGCACGTCGCGCACGGGGCAGTCGAGTCGGCGCAGAGCGTGCACTCTTCCTGACAATCCGGGTTGCGCAAGGCTTGCGTCCTCATGATCTCGGCAGCGTCGTCCACGAACAAGTTAAACTGGATGCAGCTGTAGGCCAAGAGGGATCCTTCTCCGGGCGTGAAGCCGAGGTCCGAGACGATGGATTCGTCGTCAACAAGCGCCTGGCGGGACGCAGAACGGGTGATGTTGGATGCGGGGGGGCGGGGGGCGCGGGGCGTACTCTTGCGTTTTACATGTCCTAGTGGTTGGACCATTGACTACGCGTCCTGGAGAGGACGGAGCGTTGTTCCCACAGGGCCGACCTTCCATGACCAATTGTTCCTTCCTACTTTGCCAAAGTGACTCAAAAATCATTTCTCTAGTTTATCTAATTGCTTCCCTCCTTTCCAACCCACTTCGTATGCCACCGTCTTTTCCTTGCTATTCCATGCCTCCAACATCTCCCTGTATCTCTCTTCTACTTTTCCCAGCTCAGTCATATACACTTCCCCCTCCTTCTTGAATAACGAACATTCCATAACTACATGAACCCGGTCTTCGCACTCGCGGGGAGGGGGGG